TAGGGGAGAAGTGCGCAGGGAGTGGGGGTGGAAGGAAGGTGTAATAACCGGGTGCCGGGGTCGGGGGAGGAGATGAGTCAGAACGGGGGGGAGCGGCGAGGGTCAGGGCTGGGGTAAAACGGCGGGGGCTGTTGAACGGCTCCGGACGTGGGAGGGGAAAGGAGGAGAAAGGGGGGCAGGGGGAAACCGGAGCGGACGGAGGTGGGGACGAGGGTGAAAACTGTCCCAGCCGCCGCCTGCCCCAGCCTCGTCTGTCCCCGTCTACCTGCATGGCCTCCAGCAATGGCTGGCTTCGGCCGGACGCCCCCTTTCTGACATGCCAGGGCCAGGGCAGGGGTCGTCACGGAGACTTCTCATGCCTGAAAGACCCCATTTCTTAGTTGTCCGGTCCCCCGTAATGTCAGTGGCGTGGGGATTTCTTGCTGAGCTGAGCTCGTTGTCCCCAGTGCCTCCCCTTGCCCCCCACGGACGGGCTTCCCTTGTCTGCTCCGGGCCCCAGCTCTTCCCGCGGTTCTTGCTGTCGGCTTCCTCCAAGTCACCTTCCGCCTCGCCTTCCTTCCTCCCGCCTTTCTCCACGTCCCTTCCAGTGCCCTCTCCATTTCCCGGCCACTGGTCGCAGAGCTCCGGATCGCAGTGGTTCCATTTTAAACGTCTTTGGTTTCTCACGCAACCTATCTTCTACGGTAACTCAGGTTCCCGGTTCCCGTGTTCTTTTCCACCGTGGTCCCTCCATTTTAATTTTTTTTTTTTTTTGACCCAGGCCCCTGTGTCGTGAGCCCTGGGTACGTCCTTCCTCTGACCCTTACTTCCTGTGTCCCGTCTGGCCTCCTGGGTTACACCCCTGTTCACCCCTCTTGGCCGGTTATTTTTTGGACCCGCCAGCTTCTTGATCTCCCTCTTTTCCTCTGGCTACCTGTTATTTTCTCGCCGCCCATTTTAACCTTAGCATGCCACGTTTTCACCCTTCATTTTCCGCCGGGTATTTCATTTTGTTTCTCAATGTTAAAAAACGGCCCAGCGCACCCCTTTCTCTGGGCCTCCGCATTTATGCCGGCACCAGTGTCGGCCTACTCCACCTCTGCTCCCTTTTAAGCGCTCATTTCCCACCTCCTGAACATCCCCGTCTTACTGTCCAGCCTCCCCACTCCCATTTTTCCCTTCTCCCATTTTCTGAGTCTCCATTTTTTTGGTCTCCCAATTCCTTCGATTCCTGGCGTCTTCCAGGCCTCCTTTTTATGTACAAGTCATGGAAAAAAAATAAAAGGGTAAGGGGGCAGGGCGCGGTGGCTCACGCCTGTAATCCCAGCACTTTGAGAGACTGAGGCAGGTGGATCACCTGAGGTGGGGAGTTCCAGACCAGCCTTGCCAACATGGCGAAACCCCGTCTCTATAAAAATTAGCTGGTGGTAGCCGAGCGCGGTGGCTCAAGCCTGTAATCCCAGCACTTTGGGAGGCCGAGGCGGGTAGATCACGAGGTCAAGAGATCAAGACCATCCTGGTCAACATGGTGAAACCCCGTCTCTACTAAAAATACAAAAAAATTAGCTGGGCATGGTGGCGCGTGCCTGTAGTCCCAGCTACTCAGGAGGCTGAGGCAGGAGAATTGCCTGAACCCAGGAGGCGGAGGTTGCAGTGAGCCGAGATCGCGCCATTGCACTCCAGCCTGGGTAACAAGAGCGAAACTCCGTCTCAAAAAAAAAAAAAAAAAATTAGCTGGTGGTGACGGGTGCCTGTAATCCCAGCTACTTGGGAGACTGAGGCAGGACAACCACTTGAACCCTTGTTGCAGTGAGCCGAGATCATACCGTTGCAGTACAGTCTAGGCAATAGAGCAAAAAATTCCGTCTCAAAAAAAGGGCGGGGCGGGCAAGAGGAAGAATATCGTTGACAATATTTTAAAAGCTGGTCAAAAAAAAAAAAAAAAACTTTGGCAAGCTCGTTTTTCCAAGTCTTTTCAGTTTACTAATCAGGTCTCAATAAAGATCACAAAAGCACTTATTTAAAAATAGCTTTATTCCATTATCTTTTTAAAAAAATGCATATGATAACCTCAGAACTAATTTCTCCCAACCCCCACCACGTCTTAAAATGTAAATAATGGAGAAGGAGCTGCCTGTTTTTCTTTGTAGCAGTTCCTGGCCAATCCCAATGTGACAAATATCGGTTGGCACTTATTGCATCATAATACGTTTTACTTAGGATGATAGTCTCAGTGCGTGGGTTATTGCAATTTTCCATCCTGTGTTTTCCTGTGGCAATTACAGGCCTTGTATGTGCTTGTGAGAATTAGAGCTAATATCAAGCCATAGAATTGTGGAGCCCCCCTCTGGTGTCCCCACCAGGTTTTGAGGAAAAAAAAGTCAGTTGCAATGGACCTGAAGTGTCTGTCTTCCTGGTTCTGATAAATAGATCTCAAGGTCTCTAAGTTAACAATACATGCAGATTTTTTTTTAAAGCACAATGTAACAACTTGGACTTTACCACACCAACTGTAATCCATTGTCCACATGCTTGTGGATTTGGGCATGGATCGTCTTAAAAGCAGTCCTAATTCTTCAAAGATCCTTAAAACCTGAAGACCTGGGCTTTATCTGACCCAGGATATTAATGTACACACAGGACTCAGATATGTGACAGGAGTCACAGCTCAGCTGGTTAAATGTTTATAGTGTTCAGCACCAGGACTTTGCAGCTCCCATTTAGTAGTGGAAAAACCCTCAAATATTTCCTATCAACAGATGCATGTGCAAGAGAAGAGGAAGTTGTGGAAAATATCCCAGTGATCTTACAAAACATTCTCTGTGTTCCCAGCTAGGATTTTTTTCCCCCTCAACAGCTTTTGTGTTTTCTTTTTTTAATCTTGTGGCCTCTGAATAGTAGACTCTTCAATTCTGGAATTGGATTGACCCTAAAGGAGAGACTCAACATTCAGAGACTTTAGAAGCCAGCTGAGTATCTCGTTCTAAAATGATACTAATTTACACTTTTGAGAATGGTTAAGTAAGTGGGGTACTTTGCAACAAAAGACAAAATGCAAAAAGCTAGTAGAACTGCAATTCACAGCTATTCCTGCAAGGTAAACATTGCAGCCCAGTCCTGAGCAGGGGACAGGGCATCCTTCTGGTGATTTGCTTAGTTCAGTCCCTTCATCCAAGAAAACAGACCTTCCCCAACCACACCTGCAGGGTTACTTCAGACAACCAGCTTCTCATTTTAGAGTCCCAGTTCTTAGAACTGGAGAAAGGAAGTTCCCCTTTAAGCCCTAGTCTTGCCCACTAGAGAGATACGCAACATGAAAGAGTGCTGATTCAAGTCAGATTTCCATATTTAGCAAACATCCATTGCACCCTTATAAGGTCCCTGACTTTAAGAAATTTAGATGAAATCAGAAAACATAAATCTCGAAACTATACAAGGATCTACTGGAAGCATCAGCAGCCTAAACTCATCACATGTTATCTTCATTCCAAATGTAGTGTTATTGATTGGTGTGCCCTCAGAATATCCTTGTACCCTCAGAATATCCTTAAGAAGCAGGAAGGAAACAAGTTTTCCTCTTACCATTTCCAAGATAAACAGTCCAGATGAGCTGGTTTGCCCAAGCAGGTCTTATCACCAGATACTCCATTATGAAATGTGTCTCCTGCCTGCTTTCGAAGCAACAGGAGAAATGAAGCATAGGAAAGTCTGCAAGCCAGTAGTGTATCACCTAGGAGGCTTTTATATAAATATGAAGCTCTGCAAAATGTGAGGTTATAATGAAAAGCACTTCCTATTACCAGTTCCCTAACTTTTTAAAACAATTCTATCTCCAGGGAAATAAAAATGGTTAAGACGGTGCTCTGATTTGCATAGTTTAGTCCCTTCATCCAAGAAAACACAGACTTTCCCCAACCACACCTGCAGGGTTACTTCAGACCACCAGCTTCTCATTTTGGAGTCCCAGTTCCTAGAACTGAAGAAAGGAAGTTCCCCTTTAAGCCCTAGGTCTTCCTCCCTAGAGCAGATTCGCAACATGAAACAGTGCGAATTCAAGTCGGATTTTCGTATTTAGCAGATGACCTTACAAAGATGTTTTTCAATAAATGGAAGGAAAGACATGTGTGCTTGGTTTTGTTTTTTGCTGAGGCCCAAATATCGCTAGTGCAAGCCCCCCGCCAGGGGTGCAGGTCGAGTCGAAGCTGAGTGAAGGGCTCATCTTCAGTGTAGCTTTCCAAGCTTTCAGAACAAGAAACAATAGGTGAGTAATTTCCTCACCTATTTTTACAGGTGAGGAAATCGAGGCCAAGAGAGAGGTAAAGAACCATGCCCTAGCCCTTGAAGGAAGGAAGCAGCAGAGCCCAGATTCAACTTCAGGTGTTTCTAACTCCAAAGCCTAAACCAAACTGCCTTCCTCTGACTGGTTATGGTAGCTGAAACTTAACTTGTTCCAGGGATCAACTATTTGCCTGGTTTCTTGGTCATGAGCTCACCTGGGCAGTGATAAAGGAAGTTTCCCTATCACTCCTTTTTGTGCTGGGGCAAGCTGGTTATAAACCTTTAATAGTGACAAAGGAAGGTCGGGCACAGTGGACACACCTGTAATCCCAGCACTTTGGGAGGTCAAGGCAGGCAGATCACAAGGTCAAGAGTTTAAGACCAGCCTGGCCAACATAGTGAAACCCTGTCTTTACTTAAAAATGCAAATACATTAGCAGAGCATGGTGGTGCGCACCTGTCGTCCCAGCTACTCAGGAGACTGAGGCAGGAAAATCACTTGAACCCAGGAGGCGGAGATTGTAGGTGAGCCAAGATCACACCACTGCACTCCAGCCTGGGCAAAAGAGTGAGACTTCGTCTCAAAAAAAAAAGAAAAGAAAAACAATAGTGGCAAAAGGCACCAAGACTCAGTGCTTCCCTTACCCCTGCTCCCTCCAAATCAGCATCTGTCACAGTAGATCAACCTGGACAAAGCCAGGATTCACAGCAGAAGTGGCACCTCAGACAGCAAAGCAGCCTTCCTTCTCAAAGCTTTTAAACATCGTTGGGAATACTTAGAGCAAACCAAACCAATGTTTTTCAATAAATGGAAGGAAAGATGTGTGCACTTGGTTTTGTTTTTTGCTGAGACCCAAATGTTGCTAGTGCAAGCCCCCCGTCAGGGGTGTAGGTCAAGTCAAAGCTGAGTGAAGAGCTCCTCTTCAATGTAGCTTTCCAAGCTTTCAGAACAAGACAACCATGGAGCATCCTCTTCTTCAGACTGGTCTGTCTTCTTGTTGAACAATGTCACTTTGCTCCTCACTGCTGTCATCTGCACAGGGGGACATAAACCCAATGCTTGGTAATCAGAGTGTGTTTCTATTTCCACGATCAGTCATCAATCAGGGATTTCTAGTCCTTTCCTGGTGAGCTACAGAATGGGATCTCATGGGCAAGGTGTGTTTTCCCCTTTTCACCTGTTTTCTGCATTCAAAACCTCTGGGCATGCTTGATACTGACCACACTTCATGTCCTCGGCTCAGGCCCTTGCCCTCACCTGAAACACCCTCTCTCCTTTCTGCTTATTCCAACTCAACTGTCCTTAAACGCTTGCTTCATGTCCATCTCTTCCATAAAGCTTCCCCTGACCAGTGCACTCCTCCAGGCTCTAATCTTTGTCTGAGGTCACATAATTTTTGGTGCAGTGGCACAATCTCAGTTCACTGCAGCCTCAACTTCCCAAGCTCAGGTGATTCTCCGGCCTCAGCCTCCCAAGTAGCTGGGACTACAGATGCATGCCACCACACCCAGCTAATTCTTTGTGTTCTTAGTAGAGACGGGTTTTGCCATGTTGCCCAGGCTGGTTTCGAACTCCTGGGCTCCAGCAATCCTCCCCTTTGGCCTCCCAAAGTGCTGGGATTATAGGCATGAATCACTACACCTGTAATTTTTTTTTTTTTTTTTTTTTTTTTGAGTTTCACTCTTGTTGCCCAGGCTGGAGTACAATGGTGCGATTCTGGTTCACCACAACCTCTGCCTCCTGGGTTCAAGTGATTCTCCTGCCTCGGCCTCCCGAGTAGCTAGGATTACAGACATGCCACCAGGCCTGGCTAATTTTGTATTTTTAGTAGAGACAGGTTTCTCCATGTTGATCGGGTTGGTTTCGAACTTCTGACCTGAGGTGAGCCGCCTGCCTCAGCCTCCCAAAGTGCTAGGATGACAGGTGTGAGCCACCGTGCCCAGCTGCATCTATAATTTTTAAATGTATGGTCCATCAGGCAATTAATCAAATATCTTCTAGCACCAGCTTCTCTACTGCTCTCTCAAAGTGTCGGTTCAATCTTGCTCCTGTTTTCATTTCCCCTGCAGGTTTTAGTCTGTTCACCTGAATTGGTCTTGTAAAGCTCCCTGTATGGAGACATTACATATCTCACTTTTCTTCTCCCACAATAACAATATTGTGCCTACCCTGGAGCAGCCCCTTGATAAATGTTTGTCAGTTTTTGTGTTGGTAGTTGATCGTAGTCTCAGATTCTAGACTAAAGTTTAGCTGTCTTCCCCAGCCTTCAAAAACCAAATTCACCCCTCAGAGATTTCCTATTGGGAAGCTCACTGCAGCAGTTCAGAGGTTTGTGGGTTTTTTGGTTTTTGTTTTGAGACAGGTTTCCACTGCTGCCCAGACTGGAGTGCAGTGGCACAATCACAGCTCCCTGCAGCCTGGACCTCCTGCACTCAAGCGATCCTCCAGCCTCAGCTCCCAAGTAGCTGGGATCACAGATGCACATCACCATGCCCGGCTAATTTTTCTTTCTTTCTTTCTTTCTTTTTTTTTTTTTTTGTAGAAACAGAGTCTCACTATGTTGCCCAGGCTAGACTCAAACTTGTGGGCTCAAGCAATCTTCCTGCCTTGACCTCCCAAAGTGCCGGGATTACAGGTTTGAGCCACCATGCCTAGCTCAGAGGATTTTTTGTTTTCTGTTTGTTTGTTTGTTAAAGGAAAAAGAGCTTACCTTGTAGATCCTGGAATCCATTTCCCATCTGTTCTATGTTCCCATTCACCAAGGCGGTCACTCTATGAATGTGGTTCTGCTTGGGTATTTCTTTTGGGAACTCTTGTCTCTCATGTGCTCCTTCCTCCTCTTCTACTGCAGCATCTTCCTCCTCCTCCTCCTCTTCCTCTTCTGAATCCACCAAAACCATGACATCATCCATGTTTTGGCCCCTAATTACCAAAGGGGGAAGAATAAGATTTCCTATTTTTCCCAACTTCAGCCCTCACTGAATAGGAAACACTAGATTCTTTGCAACCCTATTAGCAATATGGAAACTTCCTCATGCACTCAGCTGGGTAAAGTCATGAGATGATAGCGTGGTTGTAACCGCAGAGAGAGATGCTGCCACAAATTGCTTCAGACGATCATATCTCATGCTGGGTTTGTTTTATTACTCCTTCCCTGCTCCTCGGGCAGGTGACCATGTCTCAGGCATCTACCAGTTTCATGTCCCCTTACAGCAGGTGGACAAATGGTTTTCGTTTTCTGAAATGCCCTCATTCTGTTCTATTTACCGAAATCTCTCCTCCTCCTCATCATGGAAGACCCAGGTAAAGTCCTCTCCCTCCCCCTAAAGGCCGGAATTAATGATTGCATTTGGTGTTCACGCCCAGTGGTGTAGCATTTAATTGCTCTGTAGTTTATCTACCGCCAGCTCACTAATTCTGCCTACCCAACCAAATTATGCATTTCTTTTTCTTTTTCTTTTTCTTCTTCTTTTTTTTTTTTACATGAAATCTTGCTCTGTTGCCCAGGCTGGAGTGCAGTGGCACGATCACAGCTCACTGCAACCTCCACCTCCAGGGTTTAATCGATTCTCCTGCCTCAGCCTCCCAAATAGCTGGGATTACAGGGTGCCACCATGCCCGGCTAACTTTTTGTGTTTTTAGTAGACATGGAGTTTCACCATGTTGACCGGGCTGGTCTCGAACGCCTGACCTCAAGTGATCCGCCCACCTCAGCTTCCCAAAGTGCTGGGATTATAAGCATGAGCTACAGCACCCAGCCTGGACTGCACATTTCTTAAGGAAGAAAGAATGCATGCCACAGGTCAGTCACCTGCCCAAGGAGCTGTGTTATATTCTCATTTAATCTTCACAAACCCTCTCAGTGAAACAGATCAGGAGACTCGGGCTCAGATACGGTCAGGGATTTTCCATGGGTACAGGGCTTGGGAATGGCACAGCTATCATGTGGACCCAGGTCCACTCGTCCCAGTGCCTTTTCCCACTATATCACACTGACATCTCCTGTGAGAAATAAGCCCAGGGAACGACAGGCTTATTGAGAGAATGGCCCTCCAATACAGGGGAGTAAAGATAATGCTTTGCTACAAAAGATGGTCCCAGAGGCCGGGCGCAGTGGCTCAAGCCTGTAATCCCAGCACTTTGGGAGGCTGAGGCAGGTGGATCACGAGGTCGAGAGATCGAGATCAACCTGGTCAACATGGTGAAACCCTGTCTCTACTAAAAATACAAAAAATTAGCTGGGCATGGTGGCGCGTGCCTATAATCCCAGCTACTCAGGAGGCTGAGGCAGGAGAATTGCCTGAACCCAGGAGGCGGAGGTTGTGGTGAGCCGAGATCGCGCCATTGCACTCCAGCCTGGGTAACAAGAGCGAAACTCCGTCTCAAAAAAAAAAAAAAAAAAAAAAAAGATGGTCCCAGAACAATAATATCCTGTTATTACGAATAGGTAAAGAACTGTTTTCCCATAGGATCATAGAAAAGAGTACTTTGCTCCCACCTAGAATCTCCTTAGGAAATAATATACACAAGTTCCGTTTGATTCCTTTGCCCCTACTGGGGTTCGCCTTTGGGAGGGGCTTCTGGGCATGCTCAAAGTACTCTTCCAAAACACCGTAAAACTGGCCAGGCATGGTGGCTCATGCCTGTAATCCCAGCACTGTGGGAGGCCAAGGAAGGCGGATCACTTGAGGCCAGGAGTTTGAGACTAGCCTGGCCAACACGGTAAAACCCCGTCTCTACTAAAAATACAAAAATTAGTCAGGAGTGGTGGCACGCACCTGTAATCCCAGCTATTCAGGAGGCTGAGGTAGGAAAATGGCCTCAACCTGGGAGGCGGGGGTTGTAGTGAGCCAAGATTGTACCACTGCACTCCAGCCTGGGCGACAGAGTGAGACTCTGTCTCAAAAATTACAAAAAGCAAAAACAAAACTGTAAGACCATGACTGAAGATTCTTCCTTTTAGCTCTTTTCAGAAAATTAAATAAAACAAATGCATGAATGACTGGCTCAAAATGTACACATTGTCTTTCTGTCTCAATGACAGACCTGCAATGTATCCAGCCCTGAGGTTTGTATTGTAAAAGAACACTGACTTTAGAATCGATTAGACCTGGACCCGAAGGCAGGCACTGCTGCTTACTTCCTGCATGAGCTTCCAGAAATTACTTCACTGAGCCTCCATCCCCTTATCTGGAAAATGGAGACGTCACCACCACCCCAAGGAGATGATGAAAGGGTTTAGAAGAATGTCTGATGAAACCCCTAGACCCGTGTCTAGCACTTCGTAGGTCCTCAATGGTAGTGGCTATTATCGTTCTTACGAAAGGAAGGGAACAAAACAGGAGCGAAGACAGATAACAAAGACGGGTTTTTGATTTAAGTCTAAGGAACACTCACCTGAAAGTGTTTCCTACTGAAGAAAGAAAGAAAAACCATTAATATCCAGTAACATCCACTTCAATCTCACAGGTTCTTAAGCAGGCTAACATTTACTAGAGGAATAAATAAGAAAACTGACTCAATATGACAGGCAGTAGGGTGTCCTGGGATGGTACTTAGGTGACTTATTACTGTACATCTTGACTCAACGAAGGAGCCCAGAATATGGAACTTCAGGTGGAAGCATGACAGGGACCACCCTTCCCCAACCCCACACCTTTTCCAGAAGCCTGGAAGGGAAGCTAAAGGACTCAGAAGCCCTTACCTTTCCAGCAGAGCACAGGGCTGTGATACAACATAAGCCCTGAGATAATGGCCAGTCCCAGTAGAAGGAGGCTCACAATGGTTCCCACAATGCCCCCGATGTTTAAAGGTTCTGTAAAGACAAATCACACCATTGATTCTTCCACCAGATATGTGTGCAATTAGAACAACACCGCCCTTTCTCTGCATGGAGTCAGTTCTTGTCTTGATTCCTGACCTTGGGTAAGGCTTATGACTTGTCTGTAATGCCAGATAAATATGTTATCACCCAACCTCAGACAGAGTTTGTGGGGATCAGATGGAGCAGGGAATGTGAAAAAACAATGGAAAGTTAAAATCTCTCTGTCTACCAAACCCTGAGACTATTTATAAGGCCATGGTAAGTAAGAATGTAAGGGTTATCAATGCCGTGATAAACAGAGTGATCAACGGAACAGAACAGAGACTGCAGGAACAGGTGCACAGGTAAACAGACTTGATGTATGACGGGGTGGTGAGCAAAGGAAGCACTATTTAAGAAATGGTACTAGAACAAATGGTGACACACGTTGGGGAACAAAAAAGAAAGAAACAGCCAGGCACGGTGGTTCATGCCTGTAATCCCAGCACTTTGGGAGGCCAAGGCAGGCAGATCACCTGAGGTCAAGAGTTCAAGATCAGCCTGGCCAACATGGTGGCACCCCATTTCTACTAAAAATACAAACATTAGCTAGCTGTGGTGGTGCGCGCCTGTAATCCCAGCTACTCAGGAAGCTGACACGTGAGAATAGCTTGAATCTGGGAGGTGGAGGTTGCAGTGAGCCAATATCGTGCCACTGCACTCCAGCCTGGGTGAGAGTGAAACTCTGCAAAAGAAAGAGAGAAAGGAGAAAAAGAGAGAAAGAGAGAAACTTGACTACATATGTGTGGTAACAATTTTGTGTGTTTGTGTTTTGTTTTTTAGTTTTTGTTTTTTAGTTGTTTTGTTTTTTGTTTTGTTTTGTTTTGTTTTGTTTTGTTTTGTTTTGAGATGGAGTTTCACTCTTGTTGCCCAGGCTGAAGTGCAATAGGGGAATCTCACCTCACCGCAACCTCTGCCTCCCAGGTTCAAGCGATTCTTCTGCCTCAGCCTCTTGAGTAGCTGAGATTACAGGCGCACATCACCACACCTGGCTAGTTTTTGTATTTTTAGTAGAGATGGGGTGTTACCATGTTGGCCAGGCTAATCTTGAACTCCTGATCATATTGGTCAGGCTGGTCTTGAACTCCTGACCTCATGATCTGCACGGCTCAGCCTTCCAAAGTGCTGGGATTACAGGCATGAGCCACTGCAACTGGCCTTGTCTTTTTTTTAAAGAGCAGTTTTGTTTTTGTTTTTGTTTTTGTTTTTGTTTGTTTTTTGGGGGTTTTTTTTTGGTGGGGGCGGTTTTCTTTTGAGACAGGGTCTTATTCTGTCTCCCAGGCTAGAGTGCAATGGCACAATCTCAGCTCACCGCAGCCTTTACTTCCAGGTCTCAAGCAATCCTTCCACCTCAGCCTTCCCGGTGGCTGGGACTACACAGGCATGCCATCACACCTGGCTAATTTTTGTATTTTTTGCAGAGATGGGATTTCCCCATATTGCCCAGGCAAGCCACAAGCAAGGCTGGTCTTGAACTCCTGAACTCTGCCTGCCTCTGCCTCCCAAAGTGCTAGGATTACAGGAACGAACCTCTGCACCTGGCCAAGAACAGTTTGAAGTTCACAGCAAAACTGAGCAGAAAGTACAGAGAGTTCCCAATGCACTCCCTGCTCCCACATACGCACAGCCTCCCCCATCATCAGCATCCCCACCAGAGTGGTGCAGTTGTTACAATAGACAAACCTGCACTGACATCATTATCACTCAAAATCTATAGTTTGCACTAGGGTTCATTCCTGACGTTCAACACTGCACAGGTTTAGACAAATGCATGACATGTACACATCACTATGATATCATACAGCGTATTTTCACCATCCTACAAATCTGCTGTGCTCTGCCTATTCCAACCCCTGCCCCCTCACCAACCCCTGGGAGCCACTGATCTCTTATTATCTCCATAGTTTTGCCTTTTCCAGAACGTCATATAGTTGGAATCATGCTGTTAGTACCCACAAAAAAATGTTTTAAATTCAAAACTAATGACATATTATTTAGAAATATGAACACACGGCCAGGCACGCTGGCTCATGCTCGTGAAAAATAAAACACACGTGAAATAAAAAGAAGAAAAAAAAATGAAAGAAAGAAAGAAGATGGAAGGAAGGAACGGGGGGAGGAAGGGAAATAAAAGAGAAAAGGAAAGGAAATAAGAGAAAAGAGAAAAGGAAAGGAAAGAAAAAAGAGGAAGGCAGGAAAGGAAAAAGAGAGAAGAGAAGAGGAAAGAGAAAAGGGAAGAGAAGAAAGGAGGCCAGGTGTGGTGGCTCATCGCTGCAATCGCGAGACTTTTCGAGGTTGAGATGGGAGGATCACTTGACGCCAGGAGTTTTTTTTTTTTTTTTTTTGAGACGGAGTTTCGCTCTTGTTACCCAGGCTGGAGTGCAATGGCGTGATCTCGGCTCACCGCAACCTCCGCCTCCTGGGCTCAGGCAATTCTCCTGCCTCAGCCTCCTGAGTAGCTGGGATTACAGGCACGTGCCACCATGCCCAGCTAATTTTTTGTATTTTTAGTAGAGACGGGGTTTCACCATGTTGACCAGGATGGTCTCGATCTTTCGACCTCGTGATCCACCCGCCTCAGCCTCCCAAAGTGCTGGGATTACAGGCTTGAGCCACCGCGCCCGGCTGATGAAGTTTTTTAGTGTAACTATGTCCCATGAAGTATTTGGGACATACTTGTATTTAAAAAAAAAAAAGTAGGGGGGGCCGGACACCTGTAATCCCAGCACTTTGGGAGGCCGAGGAGGGTGGATCACTAGGTCAAGAGATCGAGACCATCTTGGCCAACATGGTGAAACCCTGTCTCCACTAAAAAAGCAAAAAATTAGCCGGACATGGTGGCACGTGCCTGTAATCCCAGCTACTTGGGAGGCTGAGACAGGAGAATTGCTTGAACCCAGGAGGCAGAGGTTGCAGTGAGCCGAGAATGTGCCATTGCACTCCAGCCTGGGCAACAAGAGCGAAAACTCCATCTCAAAAAAAAAAAAAAAAGTACTTTTTATTTTCTAAATTCAAATTTAAATGGGCATCCTGTTTTTAAAGTTCGTTATTTTCTTCTTTTTTCAAGATGGAGTCTCATTCTGTTGTACAGGCTGGAGTAAAATGGCGTGATATCGGCTCACTGCAACCTTCACCTCTAGGTTCAAGGGATTCTCCTGCCTCAGCCTCCTAAGTAGCTGGGATTACAGGCACCTGCCACCATGCCCAGCTAATGGTCTCGAACTCCCAACTTCAGGTGATCTGCTCATCTCAGCCTCCCAAGTAATTTTGTATTTTTAGTAGAGATGGGGTTTTATCATGTTGGCCAGGCTGGTCTTGAACTCCTGGCCTCAAGTGATCCAGCTGCCTCTGATTCCCAAAGTGCTGGGATTACAGGCCTGAGCAAGCGCCCAGCCCTACTGTTGTTTTCTAAACCTGCTCCTGTGACAAACAAGTAACCTAATGCATGTTCATACTGTTCTGTATTCTAAATGGGGTGAGCTTCTCAGGTGTTCATTTTGATCTTATGCTTCACAACTGACATACCCTAGCCATCTAGTCTTTGGTGTGTATAGGTAGTATGTAATTATTGTTCCCTATGCAAATGTTAGTCAGTAGGTTTAGATAGTAATTTCTTCCAGACACCTTGTCAAGCCATAAGCAAGCAGATATGCCTTCTCCCAGTTGGCAGTAACCCACGTGTAGGGAGGCACCAGGCTGTCCCCAGGCTGGTGCTGGGTGCTCTGAAGCTCCAAACCCTCCTCCTTCAGGCCCAGTTCCATCACCCACCTTTTACACTCAGCCAGATGTCCACCTCCCTCACCCCAACGGGGTTGTCAGCCCGGCAGACATAGTAGCCCTCGTCCAGGTCCTGGGAGCAGTTCTGGATGGTGAGGGTGGAGTTCTGGCCGTCCTGGGTAATGAGATGGCGGCTGCTGGGCTGGATGACCACCTCGGGCTGGGTAAGGTTCCTCAGCCACAGGATCTTGGCAGGGGGGTAGGCCCCAGACACCTGGCAGGTGAGCGTCACATTGCCCCCTACGAAGCAAGTCTTCATGGGCTCCGAGAGAACGGAGGGACTCCCTGGTGATCAGAAGGTAAATAAAGACAAATGTTTAAAAAGATCCAAATCACGGCCTGAGATCTTCAAGAAAATTAAAGTAGTCCTTTTTTGAGATGTAGTTTTTGCTCTGTTGCCCAGGCTGGAGTGCAGTGGCACAATCTCAGCTCATTGTAACCTCTGCCTCCCTCCCGGTTTCCAGCGATTCTCCTGCCTCAGCTTCCTGAGTAGCTGGGAATACAGGCATGTGCCACCACACCTGGCTAATTTTTGTATTTTTAGTAGAGATAGGGCTTCACCATGTTGCCCAGGCTGGTCTCAAACTCCCAACCTCAGGTGATCTGCCCATCTCAGCCTCCCAAAGTGCTAGGATTGAACCACTGAGCCACTGCGTCCGGTCCCAGTCCACTTTATCCATGATTTCACTTTCTGAGGTTTCAGTTACCACCGTGAACTACAGTCCAAAAATATAAAATGGAAAATTCTAGAAACAATTTTTTTTTTTGGAGATAGAGTCTCACTCTATCACCCAGGCTGCAGTGCAGTGTCACAGTCTTGGCTCACTGCAACCTCTGCCTCCCAGGTTCAAGCAATTCTTGTTGAACACAACTGAATTCTTGTTCAGACACAACTGAACCTTAACCTCCATCTAGCTTCATGACACCCTGGCCACACTGGTCTTCTCTTGAGTCCTCAAATGCCAAGTCTGTTTCCACCTTAGGGCCTTTGTGTTTGTTGCTGCCTCTGCCAGGAAACACTCAGCCCTAAGATCTTCACCTAGCCAGCTCCTTCCCATTCTAAGGATAGATTATTACCACCTCAAGGAGACCTCCCTGCTGAGAAATATTAAGTTTACCCTGCTCCCGTGGAGGGTATCTTTTAGTTTGTAATTAGTGGTAGGCGGGTAACAGCTGCCTACTTGGTAGATTCTTGAGTTATGTGTAAATATAGAACACCTGTGTATTAATAAGAATCACCTGTGTAAGAGCAAATAAATATGTGGATGAGTGTCTGCTCAAGGCCTTCAGTCCTGGAGAGCTGTCAGCCCTGCAGGCTCTCAGGCTATTGGTCCCCAGGATAGATCCACTCTGTTGTGCTATCTGGGTGTCTGCCTCTCAAATACCTTCAGCACCGCCTGGGTGGGGGTCTCCCAACTGGGCTGGTTCTCAGTACCTCCCTGCCACCCTAGGAAAAGTGGCCCTCTTCTTAAAAAGGCCTCTCTTTTATACATATCATTTTATTATTCTCATTATCTTATCTGGACCTATCTTACTTGTTTTTGCATTTTTTTTTTGTGAGACAGAGTCTCGTTCTTTCACCAGGCACCAGGCTGGAGTGCAATGGCGTGACCTCCGCTCACTGCAACCTCCGCCTCCCAGGTTCAAACAATTTTCCTGCCTCAGCCCCCCAAAGCGATGGGATTACAGGCGTGAGCCACCACGCCTAGCTTTTCTGGGTTTTTTTTGAGATGGAGTCTTGCTCTGTCATCCAGGCTGGAGTGCCATGGTGTGATCTCGGCTCACTGCAACCTTCACCTCCTGGGTTCAAGTGATTCTCCTGCCTCAGCCTGCTGAGTAGCTGGGATTACAGGCATGCACCACCATGCCTGGCTAATTTTTGTATTTTTAGTAGAGACGGGGTTTCACCATGCTGGTCAGGCTGATCTCAAACTCCTGACCTTGTGATTCACCCGCCTCAGCCTCCCAAAGGGCTGGGATTACAGGTGTGAGCCACCACACCCAGCTCTTTCTGTACTTTCCGTCTTCCTTCTACCCCCATGCCACCCAGGATATAAGCTCTGTGAAAGAGGAATAGTTGTGGTTTAAAAAATATGTACATTCTCTGACACACCTCCCTCCAAAAAGCAGTGCCTAATTCTCCCCACTCCTCTTGAATGTGGGCTGGACTCACTTCTAATACATAAAATGTGGCAGAAGGGATGCCATATAACTCCTGAGGCTAGGTCATAGAAAGGATAGCGTCAGCTTGACTCACTCTGGCTCAGATCATTTGCTCTAGGGGAAGCCAGCTGCCATGTTGGAAGGACACTCAAGCAGCCTTATGGAGACTCCCGCATGGAGAAGAAATAGTTGCCAGGCCTGGGAGTGAGCACTTCAAAAGTAGATCTTTCAGATGATTTCAGCTCCCCACTCCACCCACTAACCTTCAAGTCTTCTGGCTGACAACCCAGACATCATAGGGCCAAGACAAACCATCCCCAATGCCAACTGTGTCTTGTCTGAATTCCTGACGCACAGAAATCATGAGATAATTAATGGTTATTCTTGTTTTAATCCATTATGTTTGAGGGTGATTTGTTACATAACTAGATGCTATGGTTTGAATGTTTGTCCCCTCCAAATCTCATGTTTAAATTTGATCCTCAATGTTGGAGGTAAGGCCTAACGGGAGGTGTTTGGGTAAGTGAATTTTCATTCTGTTAGCTTGGTCCAAAAGTAATTAGGATTTTTGTCATTGCTTTTGCAGCAACCTAATGTTAGCACTGGTTGGTTTTTTTTGTCTGTTTTGTTTTGGAGATGGCATTTCGCTCTATCACCCAGGCTGGAGTGCAGTGGCACAATCTCGGCTCACTGCAACCTCTGCTTCCCAGTTTCAAGTGGTTTTCCCCCCTCAGGCTCTGGAGTAGCTGGGACTACAGGAATGCGCTATCATGCCCAACTAATTTTTTTTTTTAATTTTTAGTAGAGATGGGGTTTCATCATGTTGGCCAGGCTGGTCTTAACTCCTGACCCCAGGTGATCCACCTGCCTTGGCCTCCCAAAGTTCTGGGATTACAGGTGCAAGCTACTGACCCAGCCAGTGCTGGTTGTTAAAAAGGTGCTGGCACCTTCCTTCTCTCTCTTGCTTCATCTCTTACTAGGAATCTCTGCACCAATTGGCTCCACTTCACCTTCCATCATGTGCAGAAGCAACCTGACGCTCTCACCAGAAGCCAAGAGGATACTGGTGCCATGTTTCTTGCACAGCTTATGGAACTATGAGCAAATAAAGTAATTTTCAGCCAAACACGGTGGCTCACACTTGTAATCCCAGCTCTTTGGGAGGCGGAGACAGGTGGATCACTTGAGGTCAGGAATTCAAGACCAGCCTGGCCAACATGGTGAAACCCTGCCTCTACTAAAAATACAAAAATTAGCTGGGCATGGTGGTGCATGCCTGTAGTCCGAGCTACTCAGGAGGCCAAGGCAGGAGAATCACTTGAACCTGGAAGGTGGAGGTTGCAGTGAGCCAAGATCATGCTACTGCACTCCAGTCTGGGTAACAGAATGAGACTCTGTCTCAAAACAACAACAACAATAACAACAACAACAAAAAATTTTCTTTATAAACTTCCCAGCCTCAGGTATTCCTGTACAGCAGCAGTAAATGGACAAGCACAAAAGATGATGAACCTCATCTGTCTTCTTCACTGTTCCATCCTCAGCCCCTAGAAACTGCACCTGACACATAGCAGGTGTTCAATTAGTATTTGTCAAGTGGAAAATGGCGTGAACTAGAACCAAGAAGCTTGAGCTAAGCATCCCTAAAGTTTGAAAGGAATGAAACATAAAGAAAAAGAAAGGAAGAAAGGGAAGGAATTCAGTCCACTCTGACATCCTAGGATTTCTTTCCCAGAAGAGCTCTGAAATGCTTCTCCGAGGAGAAAGGAAGACAGCTGAACTCCAACCCCAAGACAAAGCAAAACAGACTCACTGATCTGCACCACACAGCTGGCGCCCGCCTCTGGCCCAACTACATGACTCGCAGCACACTTGAACTTCTTGCCATCCGACAGCTGGGATTTGTTCAGCATTTCCACCCCCAGCTTTGACTTCCCCACGATTACACCTCCTGGTTCTTCTATCCACAGGAAGTTAGGGTCAGGGTATCCCCCATCCCAGCGACAAGTGAGCTGCAGCATGAACAATCCTGATGTCATCTGTGCCCGGCACTGGGGAGCTGACGGAGGGGGATCTGCAAAACACCAGAGGAAAGCATGGGCTCACTCACACGCTGTAGGATCAGCCACTGGGCTGGCGCTATGACTGCAGAACCCAGGTCTCAGAGAGACATCAACCCCAGTTAGTGTAGCATCCAGTAGCTCCTAGCACAAATTCCTCCCTGACAACAGTCAGGCTTCCTCTGTTGGGTGTTAAATCTCTGGGGACCTGGGTCTCATTTGCCTTTGCATTTCTTTTTTTAATTTATTTATTTTTTGAGACAGAGTCTCACTCTGTCACCCAGGCTGGAGTGGCACGATGGCTCACTGCAACCTCTGCCTCCCAAGTTCAAATGATTCTCCTGCCTCAGCCTCCCAAGTAGTTGGGATTACAGGCATGTGCCACCACACTCAGCTATAATTTTTGTATTTTTAGTAGAGACAGGGTTTCGCCATGTTGGTCAGGCTGCTCTCAAACGCCTGACTTTAGGTGATCCACCCACCTTGGCCTCCCAAAGTGTTGGGATTACAGGTGTGAGCCACCGTGCCCGGCCTTGCCTTTGCATTTCATATTTATTTGTTTATTTATTTAGCGACACAATTTCACTCTTGTTGCCCAGGCTGGAGTGCAATGCTGCAATCTCAGCTCACCACAACCTCTGCCTCCCAGGTTCAAATGGTTCTCCTGCCTCAGCCTCCTGAGTAGCTGGGATTACAGGCAGTCACCACCACACCCAACTAATTTTGTATATTTTTAAGTAAAGACGGGGTTTCTCCATGTTGGTCAGGCTGGTCTCAAACTGCTAACCTCAGATGATCTGCCCGCCTCAGCATCCCAAAGTGCTGGGATTACAGGCATGAGCCGCCGCACCTGGCCTTTATTTTATTTTTTTAATACACACAGGCTGGGGCCGGGCGCGGTGGCTCAAACCTGTAATCCCAGCACTTTGGGAGGCCGAGGTGGGTGGATCACGAGGTCAAGAGATCGAGACCATCCTGGTCAACATGGTGAAACCCCGTCTCTACTAAAAATACAAAAAAATTAGCTGGGCATGGTGGCGCGTGCCTGTAATCCCAGCTACTCAGGAGGCTGAGGCAGGAGAATTGCCTGAGCCCAGGAGGCGGAGGTTGCGGTGAGCCGAGATCGTGCCATTGCACTCCAGCCTGGGTAACAAGAGCGAAACTCCGTCTCAGAAAAAAAAAAAAAAAGAAAAAGAAGCCAGACACAAAAGGCCCCATGTATGATTCATTCATATGAAGTGTCCAGAACAGTCAAACCCACAGGGACAGAATGCAGATTGGGGGCTGTCCAGGTCTTACTTAGGAAAAGAGGGAATGAGAGTGACTGCTTATGGGTACAGTCATTTTGTCATTCCATTTGGGATGACAAAAATGTTTTGGAGGGCTGGGCGTGATGGCTCATGCCTGTAATCCCAGCACTTTAGGAGGCTGAAGCAAGCAGATCACTTGAGCTCAGGAGTTCGAGACCAGCCCAGCCAACGTGGTGAAACCCCATCTCTACTAAAAATACAAAATTAGCTGGGCATGGTGGCACACACCTGTAATCCCAGCTACTCGGGAGGCTGAGGCAGGAGTATCACTTGAACCTGGAAGGTGGAGGTTGCGGTGAGCCAAGATCGTGACTTTGCACTCCAGCCTGAGCAACAAGAGTGAAACTCCCTCTCAAGAAAAAAAAAAAAAAAGGACAAATGGGAGAGGCGCAAACATGCAGGTCCTAAAGGAGTAAGGGGAAGAAGTGGGGCAGAGGAGCACTGCTTACGCACAATAGACCAGGAGCTCGGTGGTCACCTTTCGATGTCTCCTGCTGAGCAGATTCAAGGCCAAACAGGTGTAGTTCCCTTGGAGGTTTGGCGACATCAGTAACAGTGAAAAAGAGTTGACTGTCAGGTTGTGGCCGAAAAACTCGCTGCTGGAATTCAGGGCCTGGAACCACCATTCAACCATAGGGGGCGGCCAGGAGCTGCTAGTGCAGCTGAAGTCCACCTGGGAACCCTTGGCTGCGTAGACGGTGCCGTTGGGGAGTGTGCCGGTGGCCGAGATGTGAACCTCAATCTGATAGGGGCCGCCTGGGAATGACAGGGGGAATGGGATGACATTAATCATGTAAGAGTTCATTCAATTGCCTTACCAACTCCAACAGACATACAAGCTATTACAGATCAGGAAACAGCCAATGAAGAGTACAGTATCTACCTCATACTATGTAACAAATGCTATGCCAAGTGCTCTGATACATTATTTCATTTAATCCTATGTGAGATTTCATTAGGGGGATAAATCCTTACAGAACAGGAAAAGTACACATTGCTCCTTAAAAGAAAAAAGTCCGGGTGCGATGGCTCACGGCTGTAATCCCAGCATTTTGGGAGGCCAAGGTGGGTGGATCATGAGGTCAGGAGATCGAGAGCATCCTAGCCAATGTGGTGAAACCCCATCTCTACTAAAATGCAAAAATTAGGCTGGGCACAGTGGCTCACACCTGTTAATCCCAGCACTTTGAGAGGCCAAGGCAAGCGGATCACTTGAGGTCAGGAGTTCGAGACCAGCCTGTCAAACATGGTGAAACCCCATCTCTACTAAAAATACAAAAGTTAGCTGAGCATAGTGGTGCACGTCTGTGGTCCCAGCAACTCAGGAGGCTGAGGCAGGAGAATTGTTTGAACCCATGAGGTGGAGGTTGCAGTAAGCCGATATCATACCACTGTACTTCAGCCTGGGCGACAGAGCAAGACTCCATCTCGAAAAAATTAGTAAATAAGTAAATAAATAAATAATACAAAAATTAGCTGGGTGTGGTGGCATGTGCCAATAATCCCAGCTACTCATGAGACTGAGGCAGGAGAATCGCTTGAACCAGGGAGTCAGATGTTGCAGTGAGCTGACATCACATCACTAGACTCCAGCCTGGCGACAAAGGAAGACTCTGTCTCAGAAAAAAAAAAGGCGGCCGGGCGCGGTGGCTCACGCCTATAATCCCAGCACTTTGGGAGGCCAAGGCGGGTGGATCACCAGGTCAGGAGATCGAGACCGTCCTGGTCAACATGGTGAAACCCCGTCTCTACAGAAAAAAAAAAAAAGGCTGGGTGTGATGGCTCACACCTGTAATCCCAGTACTCTGGGGAGACCAAGGTGGGTGGATCACCTGAGGTCAGGCATTCGAGACCAGCCTATCCAATATGGTGAAACGCCATCTTTACTAAAATTACAAAAATTAGCCGGGCATGGTGGTGTGCACCTGTAGTCCCAGCTACTCAGGTGTCTGAGGCAAGAGAATCGCTTGAACCTGAGAGACAGAGGTTGCAGTGAGCCAAGATCATGCCACTGCATTGTAGCCTGGGCGACAGAGCGAGACTCAGTGTCAAAAAAACAAAAACAAACAAACAAAAAAAAAAAAAAAACAAAAAAAAAAACAGCCGGGCGCAGTGGCTCAAGCCTGTAATCCCAGCACTTTGGGAGGCTGAGGCGGGTGGATCACCAGGTCAAGAGATCGAGACCATCCTGGTCAGTATGATGAAACCCCGTCTCTACTAAAAATACAAAAAAAGTAGCTGGGCATGGTGGCACATGCCTGTAATCCGAGCTACTCAGGAGGCTGAGGCAAGAGAATTGCCTGAACCCAGGAGGCGGAGGTTGCGGTGAGCCGAGATTGTGCCATTGCACGCCAGCCTGGGTAACAAGAGCGAAACTCCGTTTCAAAACGAACAAACAAACAAACAAACAAAAAACAAAAACAAAAACTGCAAGGGCTAGGCAGAGTAGCTCATGCCTATAGTCCCAGCACTTTGGGAGGCTGAGGTAGAAGGCTGACTTGAGGCCAGGAGTTCCAGACCAACCTGGAAAATATAGCAAGACCCCATGTCTACGAAAAATTTAAAAATTAGGGCTAGCATGCTGGCTTACACCTGAATTCCCAGCACGTTGGGAGGCCGAAGCAGGCAGATCACTTGAGGTCAGGAGTTTGAAACCCGCCTGGCCAACATGACGAAACCCTTTCTCTACTAAAAATACAAAATTAGTCAGGTGTGGTGGCACATGCCTGTAATCCCAGCTGAGGTGGGAGAATCACTTGAACCCGGGAGGCAGCGATTGCAGTGAGCCAAGATAGTGCCGCTGCACTCCAACCTGGGCGATAGAGTGAGACTTCATCTCAAAATAAATGAATAATTAACTGGGTGTGGTATCACATGCCTATAGTCCCAGCTACTTGGGAGGCTGAGGTAGGAGGCTGGTTTGAGTCTGGAAGGTTGAGGCTGCTGTGACCCTGGATCTTGCCCCTGAACTCCAGCCTGTGTGACAGAGTGAGACCTTGTCTCAAGATAAAACACTGCAGAATGGAAAGTATTTCTGTGCAGTGAAGAATTAAAACAGCAGTCCTGGGACTGCTCTCCTTAGAAAGACCTGCTTGCAAGGCTGGCCCTTGGCTGCTGTCTGGGAACTTGGATTTCAGGAGGATTCCCACCATTCCTAGAACTGAGAGGAGTGGCTTGCTGTGCCTAAACTATGCAAACAATGTGGTTTAAACTTGGCTGGGGCTCTGTGGCTCCTGCCTAGAATCCCAGCACTTTGGGAAGCTGAGGTAGGTGGAGTTTGAGGTCAGGAGTACGAGATCAGCCTGGCCAACATGGTGAAACCCCATCTCTACTAAAAATACAAAAAATTAGCTAGGCATGATAGTGGACGCCTGTAATCCCAGCTACTCAGGAGGCTGAGGCAGGAGAATCACTTGAACCCAGGAGGCAGAGGTTGTGGTGAGCCAAGATTGGGCCATTGCACTCCAGCCCGGACAAGAACAAAACTTTGTCTCAAAAGAAAAAAAAATGTGGTTTACACGGAACTTCTGCTTTCTGAGAGGCAGGAATTTGGTAAGTGCAAAGCAGAAAGCACTTATGTAATGAGCCCCGACAAAAAACCTTGAGCAACAAAAAAGTCTCCAATGAGTTTCCCTAGCAGACGTTTGATGTGTGTTGCCACAACTCATTTCTGGAAGTTGCGTCCCATGCAACTCTGCTAGAAGACTTGGAAGCTTGCACCTGGTTTCCCTGGGTTTCTTCCCATGCGCCTTTTCCCTTTACAGGTTTTGTTTTATATCCTTTTGCTGGAATAAATCACCCTACGTGCTGAGTCTTGTGAGTCCTCTTAGCAAATTGTCAAACCATGGGGACCCCCAGCATGATATCATACTAAAAAGCGAGAAATTGGGCCAGGCGCAGTGGCTCACCCCTGCAATCCCAGCACTTTGGGAGGCCGAGATGGGTGGGTCACCTAAGGTCGTGATGTTCAAGACCAGCCTGTCAAACACGGTGAAACCCCATCTCTACTACAAATACAAAAATTAGCCAGATGTGGTGGCATGCATGCCTGTAATCCCAGCTACTCGGGAGGCTGAGGCAAAAGAATCTCTTGAACCAGGAGGCAGAGACTGCAGTTACTTGAGATCATGCCACTGCACTTCAGCCTGGGTAACAAAGTGAGACTCTCAAAAAAAAAAAAGAAGAAGAAGAAGAAAAGGAAGAAATGAACTACTTGTCTGACTCTGTCCAAATGACCCTCCTCAGCCTCCATTTCCTAGTCTATGAAAGGGGGTGATGGCAGTCCCCACTTCCCGGGATTGCTGCTGTAAAGCACTGGGAACGGTGGCCACGCTGGAAACACTTGATGAACTGGTAGGCCTCATCTCAGTTCTCATTTCTCTTCACATTTTCCTTTTTAGTTTACTTTTTGAAATGGCGTTTTGCTCTTGCTTTCCCGGCTGGAGTGCAGTGGCGCCATCTCAGATCATTGTACCCTCCGCCTCCCAGGTTCAGGCGATTCTCCTGCCTCAGGCTCCCGAGTACAGTAGCTGGGACTCCAGGTGTGCGACACCACACCCAGCTAATTTTTGTATTTTTAGTAGAGACAGGGTTTCATCATGTTGGCCAGGATGGTCTCGAACTCCTGACTTCAAATGATCCACCTACCTCGGCCTCCCAAAGTGCTGGGATTACAGGCCTGAGCCAACATGCCCAGCCTTCTCTTTACATTTCTGAACTTCTTTCTTGTCCCCCGAAACGCCCTCCACTGTTGGTACCCAGTGCATTTAAGGTGCCACATACCCTTGAAGAAAAGAATGTATCCCCCCAAAATATATACAATTATTACTTGTCAATTCAAACATTTCTATTTTAGTTTTTGTTACTTTTTTAAATTATATATTTATTTATTTGAGATAGCATCTCCCTCTATCAACCAGGCTGGAGTGAAGTGACACAATCACAGCTCACTGTATCCTCAAACTCCTAGGCTCAAGCAATCCTCCCACCTTAGCCTCTTGAGTAGCTGGGACTACAAGCGCACACAACCACACCAGCTAATTTTTGGTTTTTTTTTTTTGAGACAGAGTTTCGCTCGTTACCCAGGCTGGAGTGCAATGGCGCGATCTTGGCTCACCGCAACCTCCGCCTCCTGGGTTCAGGCAATTCTCCTGCCTCAGCCTCCTGAGTAGCTGGGATTACAGGCATGCGCCACCATGCCCAGCTACTTTTTTGTATTTTTTAGTAGAGACGGGGTTTCACCATGTTGACCAGGATGGTCTCGATCTCTTGACCTCATGATCCACCTACCTCGGCCTCCCAAAGTGCTGGGATTACGGGCTTGAGCCACCGTGCCCGGCCACACCAGCTAATTAAAAAAATTTTTTTTTGAGACGCCGTTTCACTCATTGCCCAGGCTGGAGTACAACGGTGATCTTGGCTCACTGCAACCTCCACCTTCTGGGTTCAAGCGATTCTCCTACCTTAGCCTCCTGAGTAGCTGGGATTACAGGCATGCACCACCACGCCTGGGTAATTTGGTATTTTTAGTAGAGATGGGGTTTCTTCATGTTGATGAGTCTGGTTTCGAACCCTCAACCTCAGGTAATCCACCCGCCTCAGCCTCCCAAAGTGCTGGGATTATAGGTGTGAGCCACCACACCCAGCCAATTTTTAAATATTTTATAGAGACAGGATCTCACTATGTTGTCCTGGCTGGTCTCAAACCCCTGAGTTCAAGCAATCCTCCCGCCTCAGCCTCCCACAGTGCTGGAATT